TTTCCTTCCTACATTATTTCTAATAATTTATCAAAATATTTCATATTTTACATTACTGATGATGTATAAGTAAAAGTCCGTTACCAGAGTTAACAGGGTCCCTTCTGATTAACACTCCATTGATTTATAATTTTGGTGAAATGTGTCAGAGCTGGATTCTTTTTATGCTTTAAAATTAAAAAGCTTTACCACTTTTATTATGTGAATCAGACTATTACTATTTATTTTTTAAGAAAATTGAGTTTTTAATTTTTTGACCAATTTTACTAAGACTTTTATAACCAGATCTTGTTTTTCAGCCTCAAATGTTTTATTTTAAACTACTTCCAAGAAATAAGAAATAGCAAATATAATGTAGCAATAAGATGAATTTAGATTTTGCTGGAAAAACTCCCCGTGACATTATTAGGTCAGTGGCACCCATAGTTTTTAAAGAATGTATCTGGGACTTAAACTCAGGCCTATCCTTTTGTACTAGACCCTTATCCTTTTTGTACTAGATCCTTAAGCCCATATTCTTAAATTTCCTTAGTAATTTGCCTTAAATGTATTTCTCGTGACTTGCTTGTCTTCAATAACTTCAGAAATCAAATGAGTCAATGCCTCAGTTCCTAATAAAATATCTTTAGATGCTGTTAAGTACAATTAGATTTAATAAGGACTTAACTTATGAAGTCAGATAATACAGACACTTATGAAAACAAGCAGAGGACTGCAAATCAAAGACCAGTAAGAGTCTGGCCCTTGATAGGCCATATATGTAGAGTTTTTAATGAAAGGTGAAAAAAAAAAAGTAAGATATGATAACGGTCAAAACCAGATCATTTATGCTATGACTTTCTTAATTGTAGGCAAAGGGTAAAAATCCTGTTCTCAAGACTAACCTAAATAAATAGCCTCTTCCATGCATTCTACATTAAGTACTAGGTTTAAAACAGACTATGGAAATGTTCATATTAAAATCTGTCAGGATATTAACCTAACAGTAATTATCCTGTCAAAATACCATTGTAAAATTTGGAAAGCACAATTACAAGTTTTCCCCACAAAATATTTTTCCCAGAGAGCTTCTTTTGGATGTGGGATGGCATTTATTAAAACTAGTCAAAAGCCTGATAAGACAAAGTAAAATATTCTTAGAAAAGTAACAAACAAGAATATCTACTTATGTTACATTGGCCTATTTGTTTTATTTTCTAAGATATTCATGGCAAGAAGCATAAACTCCTAGACAGAGGTTCTTAGATTTTACTGGGTATAAATAAACATCACCAAGGTCTCAATCCAAAATGACCGACTAAGAATGACTGGGAGGATGGCTGTCAATCTGCATTTAAAAAATAAGACCTCTATTTAATTCCAAAATAAGTGCCCCATGAAAAAAACAGAGAAACACTGACATTCTGACTATTATGAGAGGAAATTAGGAATTTTCACAGGGAAGATACTATTTTATCTTGGAAATACTTTAAAAGATGGAAGAAATTTTCAAAACTATCACACCAAAAAAACAATCAAAGTCCAAGATCTTTGTATCATGATTGCACCAAGTAGAATTTTTACTGAATTAAGTAACAACTAGTGAATAAAACAGGTCAGGCTGAAAGATCAGAAATTTGATTAAAATGAGTCTTTCAAAATTAAAAAGTATCACCTTAGATAGCATTGAATAAAACTGATACAATATTATGAAGATATTTTCCCCAAACTAGTGTGATAAAAATAAAATATAATACAAAAACTTAAAAATTATTAAACTTTAATTATTTCTGTGTAAGTTTATAGATGAAGAGAAAGGTTACCAAGGTTTTCCATAATTACTTCTAAATCAAAGGAAAAAAGTTGACAAACTAATTTAAAAAGAAAGTAAACTCTGAAAGTTACTATTTAAGAACATAATAGTCAGTTACAATACAAAGTTTTTTTCCTTGAAACTTAAGTATTTCTAAGTGGTAAACTAGGCCCACTCTTAGGTATTGCTACTAAGAGCTTAATTACAGATAAGTTTCAGAATTTTTGGTAACTGGCAGCATCACTTATAGTACAAAGGATCTCTACTATTCATATAAAGCAGAAACAAGTTTTTCCTCGGAATAAAAAATTTCCTTAGATTATTGAAAAAAAGAAAACAAAACCCCTTTGGTATACAAAAATTTACTCACTTGAAGTGCTAAGTTATAGGAATTCCAATGTGTTTCTTACCTCTAAAAATTATCTAGATTTATCATGTAATTTTCTTTCTAGGGCAGCAGCATAAATTGAGTTATTCCTACATTTTCCCCAAATAACATCTATAAACTATGTCAGTGCATATGAGCTATAGGTTTCAGAAAACAATATACTCCTGAAAATATCACTCCTTGAAAATGCAATCTGCAACACAAAACAAGACAAAACAGATAAGACTGGACAATTTGGAAAGCAACCTCTTTCATGAGGTAGTTTGTAGATGAAATATTAAGGAGACAAGGATGCTTTCCAGGAAGCTGATAGGATGTTTCCAGAATCTTATTCAGGTGGAGAGGGAATAGCCTCAGGCTAGAAATCAGCAGCTTGGTGACCTGCTTGTGTTAATGGCACCCATTATCTCTAGGCAAACTGATAAAAAGAACTTTCTGCAAAGTTGGGGATGAGGCCTTGGACCACAGGGATCCCATCTCTTTTAGTTGAAACAAGAACAGAAAAAGATAAACACAAAAAATTAAAAGGGTAATTCTTAAAATGGTATAATGGTTTTCTTTAAAAGATCATTAGGAAATCTTAAAATTAAACTAAATACACATATGAACAAGGAAACATAAGAAACATGTTATAACCCAAGTATTTCTGAAACTACTTTTTAGTTCCAAACCCCAGTACACATCAATTGCACGAACTCATGTTTTTTATTCAGAACCTGTGTCTTTGTTTTAAGACTTGGTATAAACAAAAATAAAATACAAACAACTTGTTATTAACATAACAGTTGCAGTTATTAACTGCGAGAATACAGTAGAAAGGAGTCATACTAAATGTTAATGTTCTTGCAACAGAATCATCCCAGTCATTTTATGGCAGCAAATTCTGGCAAGAAATGATAAATTCATTTGTTATTAAAAGTTCTTAAAGAATTTCCAAGATCGATCAGTTGTGCTGCAAATAAAACAGCAGTTTATTCAAGAGCCCTTACCTTTCTCTTATTTCCTAAAATATCTGCCATACAGGTAACTACTATTTCAGATCAGTTGTTCAAACCAGGGTTCTTCCTGTAAATTCACATCTTAGCTTTATATAGAGTAAACTTACACTCATTTTCCCCTTCCAGTGGAGTATCTAGTCTTGAAGCTAAAACACTTTCATAAAAGAACAATTTAAAATCCTTCATGTAAATCTTGGTTCTTACATTTCTTCTACCTCATCTTTCTTTTCTTGTACTAGGTGTTCCTCCTCCTCCTCATCACCGAAAGTCTGTTCCTGCATAGTGGTAAAGGAGAGAGATCTAGCGGCCACTTCAGCTGCGAGGCCAGCAGTGAAGGTAAAATCTGGTGACAGCTGCAGCCGCGCCAGCATCTGCTTAATGGAGGGCTGCGATGAGTCCCTGGAAGTTGGGTGGGCAGCAGCCAGGCCATCAACATCTGCCTGCCGAGAGTCATCCTCACTGTCGCACTGGTAACACACTCTTTCTTCAGCTCCTTGCGGGTGGACTTCATTTGCAGAATTGTCTTTATTTTTATCGTCTAGAGGGTTTTCACATAAATACTCAGTCCTACTACTTATTTCATTGTCAGTTGTGGAGGGTTTACTATTTTCTTCTTCAGTATCATTTTTACCAACTTTCCCCAAATCTGAATCCATTGATGGTTCTGAATTACTTATGGGTTCCACTGGGTCTACAGGAGACAAGGATTTCAACATAGCTTCAAAGGGAAAAAAAAAGAAAGAAAAATAATAACTAAGGACAATAATTTAAACTTTAAACTCCCAGTAGTTTTTTTTTCCTTATAAAGAATAAATAAATAAAAGCTAAATAAAAGTTTCTAGTAAAATCAATGTAAATTTATAAATCCAGAGAACTTTGCAAGAGATAAAATGCCTAAGAAATGAAATGAGATGGGGTTGTAATGAAGATTTAAAAACACCTCACATATTCTCTCATTTGAAATATTAAAGCAGTGGTTCTCAAAGTGTGGCCCCTGAACCTAAGTCAGTCAGCATCACCTAGGCATTTGGTAGAAATGAATATTCTCAGGCCCCAACCACAGACCTACTGAGTTAGAAACTGGGCGTGGGGACCAGTTATGTTTTACAAGCCTTCCATTTTGTTCTGATACATACTAAGTTTTGAGGACCATTCCATTAAAGATTAAGCAGCATGGTTTTCACAGATAATAGGCCTAAAAGTAATTCAGATAATAATCCTATTTTTGACACATATATATTTATAAGTAAAACAGCATAGAAAACAAATCCAACATATAATACAACCTACTTGCCAAACACCTAACAAGACCCTGATGAAAGTACAGCTATTAACTTCTACACATTTTATAATGTCACAGAAAAATATAAAACGAAATAAAATCTGCATTCAAGATCAACTACTGTACAAAGCATAATACATAAATATAACATATATCCATACGGCAGAAGTTGTCCTTTCAAGGAAAATGGAGTTTTATTTAGCCCCTCTTGATGTTAGTAGGCAGTGGGTTGCTTGCTAGGCAGTCTCTCCTCCCAGTATGAGGGGTTAGTACAATACAATATATTATGAAGCATGGCGGAAGAAAAAAAAAGTGCGTCTTGAAGATCTGATGTTTATTAAAAAATAATTTTGTAAAACGTGTCCATTTTCAAGCAACAGATCCCTAAGCTGCAGTATCTCCACTAGAGAAGCAGCACCAACAGAAAAAAATGGCCACAGCAGGTTCCAGTGTAGAATTTCCCTTTCTAATTCCATTCGGACTTTACCCCTGTAGGCAGAGATGAAAACAACTCTGGAAGATGTACTGAACATTTTCATGGGAAAAGCATTTTATGGTATCAGCAGCTTTTTACTTATTTTCACAAACTAAATCAGCATTATTGCTCTTTCAAATGTAAACTATCAAAAGCACATACCTGAAAAAGAGACACATTTCTCTCATCGTTCTATCTTTGCCCATACTGTCAACAGGATAATTTTAAAACTACATGAAGAAATACTAAACAATAAAAGAAGGATACAAGTTTATATACAATGCTGTTTTCAGTCTTCATGTGCAGTTTTAATCTGTAAATCTGATAGTTCCGAAAGAATGTAACATATATTAGAAGTTGATTGATATTTCTGATTATTGCTATTTAAATGGAGGATACAATTGGTTTGTAATGTGACACATAATCTGACAAGTGTGTTAACACTGTGCTAGACTATAAAGGAATGGAGGGATTTTTGTCTCTTGATCTACATGCTAGGGATATAGCAGTAAATAGTGCCTTAATAGCTACTTGTTGAATGAATGATTTGCTGAATGAATATTGTGAGGATAATAAAGCCCTTATTTAAGGAGACTATAATTTAATTAGAGACAAAGAAAATCAAATGCATAGAAAAATAATAGTGCCTAAAACATAATACTCTTAATCTCTGATTTATGTAGGCCTAATAGATAAACAAGCAAGTTACAGGAACTCTATTTTTACTGCTGCTTCTAGGAAGTTCCTAACCTGTTATACACTTTGCTGCTCAAGACTTCCTTTCATTTCACTACAGTGTCCCTTGGGTGTGATGGTCTGTCGTGGTAGGAAGGGTGGCAGGGCTCGAGTTGTCAGAGGAGGATTCAGAGAGAGAGAGAATGGCAGAAAGGACAGCTTGGTGGAAAAGACAGAATTCTTGGTAAAGGGATCAGCATGAATATTTTTCATGAATAACAACAGCAAGTTTTTGGAACCATAGTCTAATTGGATAAATATAACTAGAGGAAGATAAATATATTAGAAATTGTGGGAAATACAATTGGATATGATGAACTCATGTGATGGATAGGCTTGATTTGAAATCAGGAAAGGAGTTTAGATTTAATACAATAAAAAAGGGGGCATCATTGTAGGTTTTTAAGATATAGAGCCATTATCAATATGCTATTGGAGAAAAATCTGGAAGGCATATGCAAGGATAGAAGCTATCTTAGAAGCCTAGAAGCTATCTTCTAAGGAAGGATAACTTAGAAGAAAAAGGTGATGAAAATGGGAGTCAGCTAAGAGGCTATTATAATACATGAGCATAATCTAATGAGGACTTGGGCTCTAAAGGGCGTCAATGGAAAGAAAGGGGAACAATAAAATCAAGAAATATACATCTAGACAAGTGAAAATGGTAGGGCTCCTAAGAGAAGAAAAGAGAACTCTGAGGGACTTTCCAGAAGTATAGGTAATATAGATATTCTAGTGAAAAAGAGAAAGGGAAAAGAAGGCAGTGGTTTTGAGGCTCCACATAGATACTCTAAAATGGAAGGGAAGTCCCACTCTAACTTCTTAGAAATCCGTAAGAATTAATTCCTCAACTAGGAATTAACTGTAATAGTTGGATATTGTCAAGTACTAAGCTTCCCCTCGTTTCCTCCCCTTCCTCCCATGAAGTTCAACTAAAGAAGGGTGGGAAACATAAAGGAGTTTAAGGCTAATCTCCAGTCATCCAACTCTGTCCAAATCTAAGTGTGGAGACTGTGCACAGAAGCACCTCCTGTGCTCCCAACTACTAAAATGCTCAACTCAATTAAGTAACCTTAATGATGTAGCTAAGCAGCCTATGTCTTAATTCACTTCTTTCAATATTGAACACAGTCATTAACTTTGTGTTTCACTGAAGTGTACTTATTATATAATATCAACATAAAGAGAACAGAGTTTAGAGTCTTAAATTAACTAAATTTGAAAACAATCTGATTTATTCAACTCACTGCCCACTGAAAAACTAATTTAGTAAAAAAACAAATAACTGATGAAATGTGTGAGTTCATATTCCCAGTCTGATTATATACCTATTTTTTTATTGATCAAATTTATTTTGTGTCTAGGACAAGTGCTATACTTACCTACGGATCCCTAAAATTATAGCCAAAAGAAATCTATAGCTAAAATAAGATTCACAGTTAAAGAAAACAGAATCCCCTACATTGAGATAACCTTTTACTCTGAAGTCTGTGCTTACCATGATCACTAAATAGAAGTTGCTTCCATTTTTGCCTTTCTGCCTCCGATGCTTTGAATCCCAGCACTGATTTTAATTCCTGGAGTACCCTCTTGGATTCTTCATGCTCACGCTTCTGTCTCTCTCTGTCCTCTTGAGACAAGTAATAAAAATCATCCTTTCTGAAATCATTGTCCATATCTATATCATCTACATAAGCTTCTAATTCCTAAAAATGAATAAAGAAAAAGCACTTTACTTCAAGCAGACAATTTCCTAGTAGTATTCATTGACTTGTACCTACACATCGCCAAGATTAAAAAAGGGGGACTGTTGGCATAGGTCACTAAAGCACAGTTGGGCAAACAAAGCAAACATATACATAAATTGAAAAAACCTCTCATAATTGATACTAAAAAGGGCTTTGGATAAGAAAGTTTAATAACTTCAATCATTTTTCTACTCAGATACTGTAGTCAAGATTACAGTTTTTTGTTCTGTCAAAACCAATCAAAATGAGCAGGACAGACAGTTTGGGGAGGCAGTCAAGCATGTTAGTCTTCTTGTGGTAGACATTTGTGGTGCTTTCTGACTTCCCAGGAAGTCTGAACACTATTCCTAGGATTGAGGACCACTCATCTATGGCTCTCCCTATCACCAAGACAGAGGGCAGGATCCTTGCTTACCCAGTCTCCCTCGCAGTTACAGTTCAGGCAAACAACTTGGGATGCTCTAATCAGATGTATCTGCATCAAATCTGATCCAGAAGTTTGTTATAAAAGAAGGCATCCCGAGGAACCCACTCTGGTAAGAATGGAGGCAGGTCAATTTTCCAGAGGCAGAGGTTCTGAAGGTAGCATTGATGGAGCAAGTGGCAATGTCTGAGCCCAGTGACTTGGCAGCGATGTTACCACTGGAATAGTTCTTTCGAGTGATTTGAGCTCTTTACCCCAGCCTGGTTCAAGCCTGACTATCTGGCCCTTTGAAATACTGTCAGCTATCTAATATTTTCAAAATAATTTTCTTATTTGTTACTAAATAAGGTTGGTCTCCCTTTGCAATTAAACATACTGAATAGACTATTTGACCTCAGGAAAAGAAGTTTTCCTTAGGATGAGCAAAAGAGTCTTTTTAACTATCTAATATAATCATTAAAAAAATGTTTTTGAAAGTGAGGTATAACATACATGCAGTGAATGCACAAGATAAGCGTACAAGATTTTTTACATATGTATACATGCTGGTAATCACCACTCAGATCAAGATAAAAACATTTCCAGCATCCCAAAAGGTACCTTCGCCATGGCACTAACTTTTAATGTGTTTAATCACTTTTAACTGTCTAATAAATGGACAATTAGATATAAATAATAAATAGCTGGTAGTTTCAATGGATTAAAAGTCAAAGCACTAGGAACTAATAATTTGATATAAATTCAATACATTACCTTGTGATTTTGAAGCTCATTAGAATATAAATTTAGCACTTACTCAACAATTAACCATGTCACTTACAGAGAAAGGTAGGTAAGCTTTGTATATGAAACCCTTCTTTAGGGGAACAAAAAACAATTTTCACCCTTACCTGCTCCTCAGGGATTGGATCTTTGTCTGCAATGTGTAGAGTAGGCTGCATCAAAGGTACCACAGTACAGTGTGGGTTTTCACATGCTATTTCAGGTTTGCCTTAAAAAGAAACATGCCACACAGAAATGAGCAAATATCTAATTAACAGCCAAGATCTAGAACAGTCCAGCACTTCAAAACATTTGTTTATGTTGTCTCTTTATACCCTATTCCTTCCCCTGTACCCAACTCCTAGTAACCACTGATATGTTTTCTGTTCCTATTAAATTTTACTATTTTAAGAATGTCATATAAAGGGAATCATACAGTAAGTATGTAGTGATTTAAGTTTGGATTCTTTCGGTTAACACAGAACATTATAGATTCCTCCACCTTATTGATACAGCAGTACTTTATTTCTTATGAAGGACAAAGCTAGAGAATAAAGAGCATGAAAACTAAATGCCATGTGTGATCTGGATCTGGACATTAAAAAATATTATTGGATCAATCAGTGAAATTAGGATGGGGTCTGTGGATGAGACAGCAATATGGTATTCCCGATTTTGATGGTATACTGTGTGCATGTAGGGGAACATCCAGGTTTTAAAAAAAATGCAAACGGAAGTATTTACAGGTAATGGGGTTTCATGTCTGTAGCCTACTCTCAAATGGTTCAAAATAATACTACCAAAGGAATTTATAGACAGATACGTAGAGAGATGAGGCAAATGTGGTAGAATGTCAACAACTGGGGAATCTGGATGAAGGGTACTTTGAACTACTCTTGCGATATTGCTGTAATTTTGAAATAACAACAAAACAAGATATGGCTAACTATAGCACATGCTTAAAAAATTCAAACGAACGTTTTATTTAAAGTTGTGTAGCCACAGCCACTGAGCTTTTTAGTGAGAAAAGTTTGTGAATTACTTCTATCTTAATTCATATCATTATCACATATGAACAAAAACCACATATATAGAGCAGAATTAAGAAATGGCTTATCACCTGCCCAATGATTTGGAGACTGTTTTAATAAACATATTTAAGTGACTGACTAAAATTCAGTATCTCAAAATATGCTAAAGGAAGGGGTGAGGAGGACGTATCTTTTAACACACAATGGTTTTCTGAGTGTTTCTATTTATAGAAAATGTACTCAAAAGCTCCAGACTGAAGTCATTTCAAAAAGTTTAATATGCATTAATATTTGTACCTAGTAAAAATTTTTTCAAATTTATCCTTCGGAGAAAAAATTATTCACTATTTACATATTAGATATAAAGGAAATTGGTAATATATGAGTTATTAGCAATGTTAACATTTTGTTTGAAAAAAGTTAATGCTTTTACTATCTAAGGACTTATTCAGCTTGTTTAAGACATTAAACAAAGTATTACATAGCTAGCTGTAAACAAAACAATGACTAACAGAATGATAAGGCACTAAATATCTTTGGCAGCACTACAATTTCTCTATATAAATATGATTAACCTCATCATAAAGGTCCAAAGGATAAATGTGGTACTGGTCTATAGTACAAGTTTAAAAATTGATATGTCAAACATTTACAATGAAATTAGTAAAAACAAGTCTAAAATCTGGGTCACTGAAAGCAGTGTTGCGGAAAATTTCAAGATTGCCTTGTTACCTAGCAGTACTAGGCACTCTGATGTTACCATTAAGTAATGGCACTTAAACATTTTAGACCCCTAAAAGCAAATATGCAGTGCCACCTGTGATAGTATTTGTATACTATTTCGGAATGACTGAGGTATTTTACTTAAAAGCAAAACTCAACTTCTGGCTCCTGAACATCAAACTCATTATACTCTAATTGGAAAAGAGATTCTGAAAATGAGTAATACTATTAAAATCTATCCCTTCATTTAAGTTTTTTAAAAATGGTGCATGTGTGCTCACTTTGGCAGCACACAGACTAAAAGTGGAACAATACAGACATTAGTGTGGCCCCTGCACAAAGATGACACACAAATTCGTGAAGCATTCCAAATTTATAATTAATAAAAGTAACAACAATGATATGATTCAGGGAATTTTCATAACCATATTCATTTTTTATTAATAGGTAAGAGCCAAGACTTTATATTCAATATCAATTTGTACATATAAGTTCAACTTTTTCTTTAGTAAACTAAGAAATTTTGTCAAGTCAGTATCATCATGAGGACAAGAAATACACCTAATAAAATCCTACCAGAGGGAATAAGCATGTCTGATAAGGCTATACAAAAGAAATCTCATAGGTACCTTTCTTATCTGTATTTCTTCGTAGCAGTTTGTCCACCTGAGAAATGGCCTCTTCCCAGCAATTGTTGCTCGCTTGAACATGGGGCTGAATTAACTTTAATTTCTGTTCCAAGATTTGATAAGCTTCTGACACTAGTTCTTGGGTTTCTTTAGTACAAACAAGCTTTTCAAGTTCATCTTCAAGAATTATTACCCTGAGTAACAAAGTAAAACAGTTTTATCATGGAGGTTTCTAAAAATATAAAATGGAAATTTTACAAGTTACAAGGCTTATTTAAGAAATAAGCTTATAAGACGAAAAAAGTTTTGGAGATGGAAGGTGGTAATGGTTGTACAACTATACACACACGCACACCCCTAATGCCACTGAAATGTATACTTAAAAATGATTAAATGGTGAATTTTGTTATATATATTTACCACAATTTGAAAAGCTTATAAACACTATCCTAAATTTATTCAACAAATATTTCTTTCATACATACTAGGCATTTTATGAACTGAAAGATAAATTAAACCTATCTCCTACTTATAAGAAACTTATAACTGAATCGGGGAAATTATACATACAGTGGGTGCCCAAAAAATATATACACATTTTAAGAAAGGAAAAAACTGTATTAAAATTGTAATACTCAATATATACCAATAACAAAAGATGACTATAAGTCATGTATATACATTTCTTTGGCACCCCAGTATATAATGTAATACAATATCATAAAAAGTAATAACTAACATTTTATTTCCATTTTATAGATGAGGAATTAGGCCCAGAATATTGAATAAACTTGCCCAGAGTCATACAGCTATAATGTTATAATTATAATGCTGGGTTAAACACAGGCACTAAAGTATAAATACCACAGAGAGATAAAGACAGTGTTAGAAGAATTCAAAAGGGGGAATTTACTACTAGCAATGGGTACAGACAGGGAATCACTAAGGAAGAGGTACTTCTGAGGTAGCACTGAAGGACGGGAAAAATTTCAGCATGTAGAAAAGACGAGGCAGGTCATTCTAGATGGAACATGGGAAAGCCAATTTATACAGTTTGGCTGGATCGAAGGAAAAGAGCAAGAAATAAAGGCAGAGAAGCAGACTGCAATCAGGTCACGGCAAACCCTCCCCACAGAATGTTTTGCACAGAATGCAGTCTAAGCTGCAACACTCAAACCGGTGAAGATTTTCCATTAAGTGAGAAAGCAAACATATGCCTCAGAAACAATCTAGCAGTGAGCGCTCTGGAGGCAGGAGGAACAGTTAAAGGGTTAATGCTCTAGTTAGGCAAGTGAGAATGGGAAGAGCAAGGGGGACGAGCCAGACGGTGGAGTCAAACACAAAACAATTTTTTAGATAACACTTTTAAAAGTTGTGTGTGGCAGTGCTCTAGCGCAAATCAGATATGACAGTTAGTGACTGGTATACTCTCTAGTTAAGATATTTTAAAAGGTGATATTTAGTATATTTCATTTTGAAACAGGAAACATCTCATCATAATCCACAATCCCTGCCCAAGGCACAAAGCTCCTCTTTTTCATTTTCATGTCCATCCAGTGTAGCACTCTCCCTTCCCTGAACCATCTTCCCTCATTCTAATGTATTCCAATTATGCTCTGGATACTTCTTATTCTAGTGCCACAAATTCTTTAGAGACTCTGGCTTTGCCAATAAACCTTTCCACTGGAATCTGGTTCTCCTGTGATGATGATCCGACGTTAGCCACCCACTCAAGTAGAGACTGCCTTACCTCCCACATTCTCTCTGGGAGACAGGCCTGAGTCAGGTTAGCATTCACCTGCTTTCTCAGAATGGCAGCTACTCACCACTGGAACATCCTTGTCTCATAGCTTACCTGTCAGACCTTGAACTCCTGGGTAAAAACGTATCTGTCTTTATGACCTTAATTTCCTATCCTTGTCAACCACATTGTTCTTCACTCCAGTAAACTAGCCTTTTGATTTTACTGAGACTTCAAGTTCTTTGGACCCTTTTTTTTTTTTTTTTTTTTTAAATCTTACAAAATTGATTGCTGCCCTCTCCCTTCCACTTTTTGCCTGGCATCCAGCATCAAGTAGATAAACTACAATCTTATCAACTCATTAGATTCCTGTGAGCTTCCTGATTACCAACACAGCATGAACCTAACCATTCCATCCAGTCCTACAATACAAGTGTCTGTTACAGGGAAATTTCACTGGAATGACTGGACGCTACATTTTACCAAGGCAGAGTACCAACAATATCATGCAAAGAAGACCAACAAGTATAAACTATGGACCTTACATTTTACTATTCAACTGGTGCCAAAAATCTTGTCCTGTGTCACAGAAAAAAGTCCACATCTGCTGTAATTTATGTAGAAAAATAGCAATATATTATGCTCCAACTATATATAGTAATACCTCTTACAATTTACTGTTCCAATGCTGGCAGATATTTCTCTTAGATTGCAGGTTCCAGTTTAAGCACCCTACTTAAAGAGAGTTAGAACAAGCTCATTCTTCGTGTACTTCTCCATTGCAGCTTGCAAATAGAATAAACATCTGCTTTTGTCCTATCTTCCTAGGTTTTCTGTTGAGATCAGGAAAAGTAAAAACTATAAATAACTCCCCCAAATTATAGTACTTACAAATTATTGTTTCTCTGCTACCTTCATAGCTATAAACCATCCTTCATGTTGCATGCCTGTTTTGCTGCTTCTTTCTAGCTAGGACACAAGCCAACAACCACAATGGCACAGGAATGAAGCTTGCTAATCATGGGGGCATTTCCTTATATGGCTTCTGAACTTACTCATTCAGTAATGCTTTCAGATGGAGCTGCAAGCTGCGTACTGCTGTGTGAACGTTATTCAGTTCTCTTGACTTCTGTTGCGTTTTGGATAAACGCTGGGGTACTGACTGGTGCTGAGTTTCAAAGTACCGATAGAACTCATAGCTGCGCTTAAGCTCTTCCAAGCAGATAGAATGAGCATGAGGCAGACCCTGAGTCACATCAGATAAAATACGGTGAGGCAGAAGTGCTGGCGTAAGTAAGGGTCCGGGAGGTGCATTCACTGTAGAAAGTAATAGGGCTAACCGTCGGAAGAACTCTGAACTCTGTGCCACCCAGAGTTGGAACAAAACCTAAAAAAAAAAGAAAAAGAAAAAAGGACTAGATCAATGAGAAATATTGGCCAACATTGAAAACAAACTACAGATTTAACTTCTGGTTTACATTTTCCAGTTTATCCTAAGTAATGAATACAGCTGAGCTTGAACTCTAAGATTAGCCAAGAATTTTATATCAAACTATGTCGTCATGGCACATGGGAATTTCTGATCCCAACATAGTAGGAAATACCAACATATGATTTAGTACAGTTCTGCCCTAGCAGGGAAGTGCTGATGGAATGAGACACATCTATTAGAAGTGAATGTTGATGAATTATTTTTAAATGTTCCCGTAGGAGAAAAGAAGACAGTAGGAGTAACGGACCTATGTAAGTCCCAACAAATGAGTTACTGATGGATCAAGAAATAGCTAAGAAATAACATAAAAATCAGTTCCAGAGTGTTCATGCCCAGGGATGTCTGGCATGAGAAACTACAAAACCCATTCCTGAGACACCCATACCCTGAATCCAGGCAGCAAAGGACTTTCCAGATATAGTCCTGTTCAAGAGGACAATATCTTCAAAACAAAAAACAAACATACACATGAGGAAACAATTTAATATAAACAAGAGTTAGCAGACAACAAAGAAGAGTGAACCAAATTAGATTCCAGTTTTTCACAACCAGGAAAATGGGCATTATTTAGACTGTTTTAGTAAATGAATTTTAAAATTATGCAAATAATGAATTAAGATAATTTAATGGAAACCTATTTTACCATTGATGTACTTTTTAAAAATGAGTAAGACCAAATTTCCAAAACTGCTAAAAACACACTTATCTAGGAATTCTTGAATATAAACAAGCTTACCTCATAAGTCTTAAATTTTGTGAGTACAATGATTTTATTTATTCTTTTATTTGTTCATTCTTGAGCACCTATGATGTGACAGGCATTGTTTGAGGTGCTGATAATATAGTAGTGAAAACAAAAACAAAAACAAAAATGCCCTGATGGAGCTTATATTCAAGTAGGGGGGCAATAGATAACAAGTAAAACAGTTTCTTGGCTGATGGGCCATGGGAAAAAGCACAGCAGAGAAGAGGAATAGTAAGTATGTGTTTATGTGTGTATGCATGGGGGAAAGAGGAGGGAGAGAGGCATGGAGAGAGGGGGGTGGGCTGGCCAGGAAAGTCTCTAAAAGGTGTGAATGTGAAAGAACTGAGCCATCAGGGAAGACAGTTCAAGGGAGCTGGAGCTTCAACTGCAAAGTTTTGTAGTAGGAGTGTCTTTGGCACATCTGAGGACCAAGAAGGTCCGTGCGGCTGACGGTAAGCAGCCTAAGTGGTGAAGTCACGGAAGTACCCCTGGCTTTTACTCTAAGAGCAGTGGGAGCCCCTGAAGGGCTCTGCGCTACGGTTCTGAGATCTGAGCTGTGCTTTTACAGGCTCATTCTGGCTGCTGTGTTGCGATGACAGGGAGGTGAGAATAGGGGGGAGAACAGTTAAGTCACTGTAATAACCCAGGTGGGAGTTAACAGCAGCTTGCACCACAGTGGTCTGTGGTAAGAGGTGAGCAGCACTCACATTCTGGATACATTGTGAAAGCAGAACCAACAGAATCTCTTGACGGATTTTTTATGAGAGAAAAAGTGTTACCAAAGATGATTCCAGAGTTTTGGGCCACAGCAATCAAAAGAATCAAGTTGGCATAGCTATTGCCACTTTAAAAAAGACGAATTTATTATTTAATCACTATCATATTACCCAATCAAACCCAAACCCCAAAATACACATTTTGTTGTTGTTGTTCTTTTGATAGAGAAGCTGCTGCAGATGAGGGAATAACATCATTTATGGGCAAATAGGAAACTTTGATGTAAAGCACTTTTACAAAATGTGGACTTATTTTTCTTCAGCAGGAAGTACATTACTTTGTAATAATTTTAAAAGCTAGTTAACATTTTAAACAAAGAAAAAAGAGGAATAACAACT